ATAAAATATATACATATATGTTAATAAACAGCCTACAGTATTTTTACTTTTTACATCTGAAATAAATGTTTCTCACAAATCTGCTGTTAAAAAGGCATTAAATCCTTTTTTATATTTAGGATCTAAAATTATTTATAAATCCATTTTCTACAAAATCATACTGTATTATTTCAATAAAAGACACATATATTGTTTTAATTCACATAATTATTTTTCTGTTTCTAATTGGAATTAATTAATAATAAATGAATTAATTAAAGCTTTAATTTTGTAAGCAGAAATTAGTGAGACCCTGCAGTCATGACATCATAAACAGGTTCTGGATGTGTCGCCTTCTGGCTGATTTTCCTGGAGTTGAAAACCTTCCTCTCCACTTTCCAGGCTCCAAACGTGATTCAGTCACTTTAACTGCAAACACTTTTGTTTTTATGTGTAATTTGTCTCTGGAGGGGACATCAGTCACTCCAGTCCCACTCGTGAAACGAGCCCCTGCTCAGAAGTGATGACTGTAATAATAGTGAAAACTGTGTTTTAGGAATCTGCTGGAAGCCGCTGAAGTTTCCCCCTCAGAGCCATAAATTGGCTCCTGCTGTTTTCTTTTTTAGACTTCTGCTGAGTTTCACACATCCAGGGTCAGAGTATGAGATATTAAATCAGCCATCTGAGCTGATTATTATCTCCTCTCATGATTAATGTGGTTTAATTTCAGCAGCTCGTCGTAAAAATGTTGAGCATTCTGCATGTTGTGTCATTTTCCACTCAGATTACCCTCATGGCATCCGGCTGACGTCGGCGAACCCCGGAGGAGAGAGGAAGGTGTTGATCATCTTCACGGCTCCGAGCCAGCAGGACCGAGCGCGCTTCACCTCCGACCTGCGAGAGAGCATCGCCGAGGTCCAGGAGATGGAGAAGTACCGGGTGGAGTGTGAGTGTTTCCACGGCACCGAGAGAAACGCTGAGGAAAATCAGAGCAATTATATCACCTCAAATGAGACTATTTAGCTTCCGTTGCCTTTTGGCTTTGGCTGGGAATGATGGAGACTTTACCGCTTTCAGAAAACTAGACATATTCATCCATGAGTAGAAGAAGTCACTTCTGTGAGGTAATAACCAGTTTCAGTGCAGCAGATAAAAAAAACTCTAGTCACTAAAAAATTAAAGGTGGCGGTCGTTAAGGAAAATATATTTTTGCACATAAACAGTCAGATTTGGTGTCTTTTGTCAAATCAAACATAATTGGACTGATACAAATCACATTTACTGATAATCTGATTTTTGTTGTGGAAAATTCAGTTTGGCTCTAAAATCACCAATTTGATGAATGTGTTTGGTGTCAAATCACAGCCTAAACAGAATCAAAAACATGATGTGACATAAAGTTCATCCACATCATGAAAATGGGAAAAATTTCATGGCGCTAATTGGCTTAAAAAGGCTCAAAAACGGCAGCCATCTTGAATTTTAGCCGTTATCCTGAAATTCAAGGGGCTGCTGGGAAATATGAAAACCACCTGAAGGGTGAGCATGCAGACTCTCCGACACACTTGAAATATTTGTATCTGTTGCACTTTTGGCCTGTAAACCTTTTTTGGTGGATAAAGTTCAGCTGTGTGAATGTTTGCGTCTCGCTTCCTGCTCCCCTCCAGCCGAGCTGGAGAAGCAGAAAGGCATGATGCGTCCCGGCATGCTGGCGGGTTCTGGCGGGATGGGGACGTCGGGGAGCGGGACCAGTTCGGCCGGGGGGCCCATGAAGGGCGAGGTGGTGAACGGCACCCTGGGAAGGCCGAGCCTCGACGATACGTACGCCTCCGTGGACGGACTGAAACGCACGGCGCTCAGCTCCTCGCTCAGAGATCTCTCAGAGACGGGTAAGGACCGGACGCTGGACGTCCAGAACCTCCCAGTCACTTCCTCCTGTCTAGTTTGGTTAATAAGGTGTGAAAGGCTTTTTTATGATCAGAAAGGGCATTAAACCAGTTTGTAATCAGGTTCTGAGAAAATGTCTCGTTGGAAGCGAAACATGAAGAAGTGACGATGATGACGAAGCAGTTCTGGAGGATTTTATGGTTTCTTCTGACTCGGTGAACCTGCATCTGTGTTGTTATGCAACATTACAGTTCAGAGACAGAATGATGCTGCGGTGCGCCGTGTCCACCTGCTGGACGGCAGCAGGAACTACAACACAGCTTCTGACACCAAACTTCCGCTTGCATTATTTTTGACTTGACCAGTCAGAGAAAATCTGTGACGGCGTATTAGAGCCAGATTGAGAGATATTTTAAAATATGAAAATAAAGTCCTAATATTATCAGAATAATATTTACATTTTTAATTGCTTTTTGTGTAGCAGTTCTCTTACAATTATAATTAAATTCTCCTATTCTTGGATTATTGCGACTTTATTCTTGTAATGTTACGACTATTCATGTGAATTTTTCTCATATTATTTGATTTTGTTTCCAGATTGTTTGACTTTATTATTTTATTTTGACTTTGTTCTTGCATTAGTCCGTTTTTATTCCTGAATTATTATGACTCTTTCATTTCAACCTTATTCTATTATTTTGACTTTATTCTTGGAATATTACGACTTCATTAGTGTACAGCTTATCTTCTGGTAATAAAAATACATGTTAAGTCTTTTGGCCTTACCCCTTGTGCGTACGAGGACTGAGGCAAAGGATACGAGTGACACGGCTGTGGGGTCAGCTGGACGCCACTTGTAAACTCAATACGCCGTTGTAAAAATCTGACCAATTGCTAATTAGAAAAGTGTGTCACTAATTATGAATATCTATTCATCTTTGCATTAAATTACAGATTTATATTTTCTAAATATCATGAAGCTGGTCAGTGAAGAAGCTAAAATATATTTTTTTATTGTATTTGTTTTTAGTAAAAGCCCAAAATTCCTGAATTAGTTTATCTTTGTTCTCTGAAAATCACTTTTTTATGTTTCATATCTAAAATTCTGCATCATTAATAAAATCTGCTTAGCTTAGCATAAACGCTAACGAAGGGAAACGGGCGTGTTCAGGTGAAAACTGAAAACTCACTGATGAGCAGCTTAATGCGAACGTCTGTTCAGCACTTCCTGTTTCCTGTACTAAAGTTTAATCCCTGGATTCTGATTGGATAACAGGGAAGCGAGGGCGGAGGAACAGTGTGGGCTCATTGGACAGTACCATTGAAGTAAGTGTGCTGCTAGCATGTCTGCTGCTAGCAGGCTGCACCGCCGTGCATGCTGCCGCCGCATGCCTGACTGTCTGCGGGGTTAAAGGTCGTCCGGATGTGTTTGTGAAGTTTTATAAATATGTCTGTTTGCTGCATGTGAAGCTGCTCCTTATGTTCTTTAACAAACTAGAGTTTAAATGAAGGATTTACAGAAATACTGAAACATTTTTGTCGTCCTTCAGGCTGATTGCTGAAAGCTCAACATGCTGCAGCTTAAGAAACACAAACATTAGGATTCTGATTTCCAGATATTTGAAGTTTAAAGACATAAAGATCACAGATTGTCAGAAGTTATGCTGCTGTCTTTCAGTTTGGAGGATTTAGTGTGTTGAGCTGTTTGTTCCTGCATTATTTTTCACTAACAGACTAAAACGTTACCTTCTAAAACATGGTGAATCATTGGTCCAGGTCTTTTTCTTTCCACTGTGCAGTGGATCCTGACATTAGCGAAGCCGCCTGTTAATGACTGAGTTCCCCTTTAAAAACGCCTCCAACCGGTTTTAAAACGCTAAACATGAAACTCAAAGTGGAACCGTCTTAGCGCTACCTCAGAAGCTAACGTCTGACCTCCACTCTTGGGGTTCAGCCAATCAGCACCAAGGAAAATTAATTTCGCTCGTTGATTGGCTCTCTTGCCAACAGCAGCCAGTTTCGTGATGATTAGCTTCCTAAGCTGCTTTCCAACATGTCACAGCCAGTAGTTCACTGTAAAACCTAGTCTGTAGCAGGTTTCAGGACTTTTAAACAGTGTCTCTATGGGAACCAGGTTGACCAGGAAAGACTCTGATCTTCTTGCTTTGCATGTTTTTATCTTAACGCTGCTGCTGGTTTTTTTCTTCTTAACATCTCTGAGTTATTTTGTGTAGAAAATGAAGCTCAATCATTATCTGAAATGCTGATCTCCTTTATTCTGAGTTTTAAAAACGGATGCTCCTGCTAATGGGGGGAATCTTTTACCATCTCATGATTTGATTCAAAGTTGATTCTGGGACATTTTAAACAGATTCTAAATGGTATTAAATGTAAGTTTGGATTCTTATCTGAATGGATTTTGTTGGCAAACCCGATGGGTCCAGCTGCTTTTGCTGTTTGGTTTCTGTACAGAAATGTTTTCATCCTTCAGGCATCTGATACTCAACAAAATAAAAGTTTCTGAGTATATAAATAAGGACTTACAGTTTTATTATGATATTTGGTGGTACTTTGTGATAGCAATAAGTGACAATGAGAACTATTTATTACTTTTTAGGGCTGAAACTAACAATTATTTTAATAATCAGTTAATCTATTGATTATTCTGATGATTAATTGGATGAAAAATGGCAAAATCAGATTTTTCTTTAACTATTTAAGCCTTTTTAATAAATTTTAAAAATAAATCAAAAGATCCAAAAGACTTGAAATAATTCAAGTCCTTTTTAAAATAAGGAAATAAACATTTTATTGCCTAAAATGAAATAACGCAGCATTGCTTTAACCTGAATCTGGGTTTTTCACTAAAACAGATTTACATACCAAAGTGTTTTATCTTAAATGCAAAATGTTTATATTTTTGTACAGTTTTTGCTTCACTACTGCTTTGAATATGTTGCTTTCTTTAGACATTTTCCTTTTTACTAAATTGACAGTTACTTCATTTCAGCCTGTTGAGTGGCTGTGATGCGTCACAGTCGCAGCTCAACAAGCTTCTGCTCTGAAAAACAAGAAAAATAGTAAAAAAACATCCCGACAGAAAAAGTTTAGCAGTTTTAAAACGTCATTAATTCGAATTTATTTACAATGTTAAATAAAAATCACATATTGATAAGAAATTCCTAACCAACAGGATAAATTCAGCGGCGGCCATTTTAGCTCATTTTCTTAACAAAATGCCTGAAGTGAGACTAAAGAAAGTCTGATGAAGATTCCCAGCAGGATGTAGGTCTGACCAATGAGAAGTCGTCTTCTGACTTTGTTCTTCTTCTACTCTTCCTGTCCTCAGGGTTCCATTATTAGCAGCCCGCGGCCTCACCAGCAGCGCCCCCTGCAGGGCGCCAGTCTGTCCTACAGCCCCATGATGATGCCCTCGTCCCCAGCAGCCTACCGGCCGCACCGCCCTACTCAGAGCCCCGGTACGGGGGTGGGGGGTGGGCCGGGGCTCTGTCACAACCAGGGGGGGGTCACCACGTCTCCTCTCGCGAGCGGGGGCGGGGCTGGGCCCGGCGGCGTGATGGCGGCGGGCGGCGGCCAGATCCCTGGAGGCCGAATGGGGAACTTCTTCGGCAGTCGAAGAGGCAAAGTTCCTGGTCCCCTGACGATGATGTCACCGCCTCCTCAGGGTCCACCGAGTCCTCTGATGATTTCGTCCCCCCCCCACTACCCCGCTCCCGCGCCGCCCATCGCCCTCCCATCCTCCCCTTCCCCATGCCCCTCCCCTTCGCCCAACCTCGGCCAGTCGGACTCGGCCGGGGCTGGAGGGGGCGGCGGCCCGGGAGGGGGGCCGTCCAAGCTCCAGGCGTTGCACGCCCAGTATTGCCACGGCAACAGTGGAGGAGGCGGAGTCAGTGGGCACCTGCCGCAGCAGACGCCGCCGCCGCCCTACCATCACCACCACCGCTACCACATGCAGAGCGTGCCGCAGCACCACGCGCTGACGCACCGCTTCTCTGCGCCGCTGCGGCACAGCTGCGCCCCGCCCCACAGCCAGCCGCTGCAGAGGCTGCAGCAAGGCCCCGCCCACCCGCGCTACAACATGGTGTCCGGCTTCACCACGCCACCGCCGCTGTCCCCCCACTCTCCCGTCACGCCCACTACGCCGCACGGACTCTACCACCGGCCGGGGGGCGGAGCCAAGATGCCACTCACCATCTCGCACTCCCAGCCCCACCCGCACGCTCACACACACACACACAACCACACCGTGCACACACACTCCCCACTCAGCCCCTCCCCCTCCGCAACAGGCTCCACCCACTTCATTTTCTCCACCCCGCCGCCCCAGACGCCCTCGGCGCGCCTCGTCACCCAGACGCCACCGCAGCCCTACGCCCCCCAGTACCCGCCGCTGTCGTCCATCCCGCCCCCCCCTCCCCACTCACCCCTGCCTCCCCCGTCGGGCGCCCCGCTCTCCCCGCTCCCTCCGGGGGTGGGGCAAGGGGGCGGCCCCAAAGCGAAGCCCGTCAGCCGCATCAGCACGGTCGTGTGAAGAGGCAGAAATCGAGGACGGTGGCGCGCAACCCCACAGTGAGCCGCCAGGGGGCGATATTGAGAGTGAGCACAAGAGGGAGGAGGGGAAGAAGAGCAGGAGGGCAGATCCAGTTGTATCAAAATGGCCGCCTGATGAGGAGGAGAGCGGTGAGAGCGGGAAAGAGGAAGCTGCTCAGCCTGTGCTATTTCCACATCGACTTTCCTCGCAGGTAGAGCGCTGGAGGGAAAAACTACCGCTTAGGTCTGGTGACGCCCCCACCTCGCCTTCATACCGCCCTGCGTGGTGAGCCGGGACTCAGTCGGACATGTTTGTAGTTCTTCACTACTTCAGAGTGTTCGTCTCATGTTGTGAGTACCTTTTTTAACATTTCTGTGGCTGTAGTGGACAAGCGGTTGAGGGACCAGTCAGGAAGGGAACAGTGCCTGAAAACGTAACATGAGCGCTGACGCTCCGAGTTAAAGGGACAGTACCGTGTAACAGTAGTTTCACACCATGTTGTTCAGCACAAAAACCAACACTTAACTTTGATTTTGACATATTTACAAGCCATTACGGGCAGAAGCAGAGGTGTTTAGCATTAATATGGTGGCGTTTGTGTCTTAGACAGGCATGCATGACCTGTGCAATAGCTAACAGTTATCAGTGTGTTTATGGTTAATATCCAATTTGCAGGGATAGATTTGTTGTGATGTGAAGCCCCAATCCAGCAAAGTGAAGACTCTACTCATAAACTTCCTAAAACCTTTGAAATAAGCCATCGAAACAAATCTACAGGTGTCTTCGTTTTTGTTCTGCAAAAACTATTAAAAGCCTTTAGTGTTTGTGGATTACAGGGTTTCAGCAGGGGGCGCTATACTGTTGTTTTGGAATGGGACTTTTTCAGATTTTCTCACTTATTCCTGTAAGTTTGAGGATTTATTTCTACCAAATCTGTGAATGCTCTCCTCATTTCTCAAATATCCCGGTATATATGAAAGTGTACGCCTGAATTCTCAGAAATAATAATATCTGTCATTTGTATTTGACGCTCCATGATGTGTTTGTGACCCTCAACGTTGCCAGAGAAGGAGATTAAGATGAAAGATGCCAAACTGGGGGATTTTTGTTGTTTTCTGCCGATGAGGACGGTGGAGCTGCTCTACCTGAAATACAAACATGATGTTTTTATTTTTGATTTTTTTTACAGTGCAACTTTCTGTACCTTTAGCAGCAGCAATGTTAATGGAACTGGGTGGGAAAATAAAACTAAAACGGAAGTTTATTAAAATCAGAAGCAGGGTACAGCTCTCAGAAGTTTTTGTGTTTATCTGAAATCACCAGTAGGGGGCACCGATATGTGTTTAATGGTCCCATTATGAGACGTTTCTGATCCAGACTGGAGAATCCTCCATGGTTGGTGATGGTTGGTTGGTGGGAAGTCGGGGATTTGTTGGTTCCAGACTGACTGGAAACAAATGAGGCAGGCGTTTCTTGATGCTAATTTGGCTAATTTTAGCTTTTCCACTAATGTTTTACATACTGAATTGAGAAAGTCAGAATTAGGTGATATGCTAATGATAACCCACATTCTGATGGTAGCACTTAGGCTAACATTAGCATTTTGTTCATTTTAGTGTATACAATGCTCTTTGCACACTGAATGCAGTATGTTACTGTAGGTCAACATACTGTTATCTCCCATGCTAATGTTAGCATGTTAGCTAACACCATTCTATTTCACTTTAGCTTATACAATGCTCTTTGCACACTGAGTGGAGAATGTTACTGTAGGTCAACATTGTTGATATCATTAGCATTAGCATTAACATTAGCATTCTAGCTTATTTTAGTGTACACGCTGTTCTTTGCACATTAGATGGTGTATGCTTACTGTAGGTCAACATGCTACTGATAGCCCCCATGCAAATGTTAGCATTCAGGCTAACTGAATCATGAAAATGTTTTTTTTTAATTAAATTTAAATGTTTTGCTTCATTTTCTCTCGTTTCCTTCTTTTTTTAATAATTCACAAAAAATTGTGATATACAAATAACTTAACAGAAGCTTTTATCCAAAGTTACTCACTGTTGGGGACCAAAAGTTTCAGTGCAATGATGAACTCTGCGTTTAACATTAATCGCTGCATCCAATGAAAGGTCAGAGAAGAAGCTCAGAGTTTGGCCTTAGACATGGTGCGTCCACCATCCTTTTCATCCACCTTAGATCTTTTTGTCTGGAAAACTAAAAACATTAGGTTAGAGATGATTTTAATAGGATACCTAAGCCAAACATGATATTCTAAAATAAGTGACCCAAAACGTTCAGTTCAGTTATGACGTAATTTCCATAGACAGCTGGACTTTTCTCGTTTCCTGAAGTTAATTTTAGGTCAGAGGTGAAACGCCTTTAAGAAGGTCAAGAAGTGTCCAGGTGGCATCTATTGAAGCACTTAGGAAGATTGTGGGAACAGTTGAAGGTTGTTTCAGTCAGATTTTTATATTAATGGGGAAACTGGTGGAGGTCATGGAGCTCCGTCTCTTTTTTGCTTGTTTATGGCTTCATATGTTGCAGGACTGGTAGGCCGTAAAATATCGATGCTGGATTCTGACAATGTTTTCAGTAAAGATCCTTAAATGAGGTCAGAGTTTTTGGTTTCAGATGCAAGTTTATATATTTCCCACCCAGTACCAACTACTTTTGTGTTTTTAAGCAGTAAAATAAAACTTTGTGTTGAGGGTGAGTGATGTTTTATCTGCCACTTGGTTTCAAAACAGAGAATAAGGTGCCTTCAGACATAAGGATGGTACAATAATCAATAATCATGGGGATCATCATCTGAGACAAACCACCTAAATAAAAGACGATTCCATATCTGAGTTTCCTGCGCGTTGGTTGACGATGTCCATCCAGAACAGAAATACGAAGCCATTTTCTGGATTTTTAAGAAACAAGATGGACCGAGCCTTCAGTCACCCTCATCATCCAAGAAAGGAACAAAAAGGACCTGAAACTTGGACCTAAAGTCTTCTGGAAGGACAACTCATCGGACTGGAGAGTAAATCATGTTCCAGCATCTCATGTCAAGTGGAAATCTCTTTAATGAACTCTGTTTTACACGTTATTTTTGTACTTTGAGTTTAAAACCACTGTCCCAGTGTTTTTCTTCCAGAATATTTTCTGTTTTTAATCAACGTTCTTGGATGTCGGAAACTAACGATGCTGGAAGAAAGTTCTTCCCCCTTAGCTCTGGTTCGTATGACCAGCGTTTAACTGGTGGATGTTGGGAAATGCAAACATTGACACATTTTTCAGTTTCTCTGCGATCACCTGAAACCACCTGTAGATATAAACTGTACAGTGTGTTCTTGTTTCAGTGGGGCCAACAGCATCAACCTGTAACCGACGCTCAGAATTGCTTGAAAAACAAACCTGCGCTCTAAACACCAAAAGGTTCTCCTGGTTCTTCTCTGGAAAAAAGCCAAGACAAAAGCTTCAGACGTTTTAGACACACTTCACGGACTAATAATTGGTTTCAATCTGAAGAACCACTTTGACGTTTTAGAGCAAGCTTCTGATATCAGTATTGTTGTGTGAAGAGCTTTTAATAACATGAAGTGCTCCTTGGGCTGCTTTGTATTTTTTAGCACTTTTGATTTTGTTATGTGCTTAAAATGTGATTTCTGATTTGGGTTTCTGATCTAGAATCCGTTTTTTAACTTTTAACACGTTTACAACCACAACAACAGTAATCTGTGACTAACATGCTGAGGTTTCTAACATGCTTGTTGTGTTGCTTCAACTCCAGACCAGAAATGATCCTTTCCTCCTGAGCTTCTTGGAGCTCCGGACCGTTGGATCTGCACAGAGCATTTACAGAAACACCTGTTTCCTTTATGGGGGCCTTACAGAAACTATTTCAACCGAAACAGAAAGAGGTTTTCATTCAACACTGGATCACGCCTACCTCCAGACAACACGGCTCCTTCTGTTCCAGTACCAACACATCCACGCCTGTTTCTGCATGAACTCTAAACTCCAAATCCTCCAAAAACCAACATTAGGTTTCAGATCTGATCCATCCTGGTGCCACCTGTAGAAACCATCCTACCTTCACCAGTGTTTATTGGTAAATGTGCTTGGACCTCTGCTCCTTTAACCAGGAGCCTTGGTGAAAAGCTCCTCAATCCTTAAGGCTCTTGAGATCAGGTCAGAATCCAGATTAAAATAATTTGACAAAAACAAAACCAAAGTTCTGAAGCAGTGACTGAAAACTGAATCCAGTGGCTGTAAGAACCTTCAGCACCAGAACCTCACATGGTTCTTTCCTTCAACTCGTCAGGGTTCGGAGAAGCTTGTCTGTTTAGTTATGACTGAACAGTTTTATTTTCCATGTTTGCGTTCTGCAAACATCTCCAGATGTTCCAGAAGTCTTTGGTTTGACTGAGTTGCAGCTTTGCAGACCTACAGCGTGTTGAGGTCGAGGTCGTCCTTCAAGAAGTTCAACCTTTAACCTGTTTAGCAGGAGTGAGAACCACCAACTAAAATGTTAGTTGCACTAATCTTAAAAGGCTAACTAATCATAAACATTACTTTCATCAGTGCACAATAGCAACAGGGTATTTATCAAAAGCTAATGCTAAAGCACTAAATTCAACCATGTTCATGCCCACTATCAGTGGTGGAAACCGCTAGCTAAAAGTTAGTTGCCTTACCCTAGAGCACTAATCAGAAACTTTAGTTCCACTAAAGTTAAAGCCTTATACCAACATGACATTTAGCAAAAGCTAATGCTAAAGAACTAAACTCTACCATGTTGATGGCTGCCAGCATTGGTGGGCACAGCTAATTAAAACATTAGCTAAGGCACTAAACATAAACATTAGCTTCATCAATGCTAAAGCTCTTTAGCAGAAGCTAATGCTAAGTGATACCACACACCTGAGTGGACGTTTTTCCTCCCTGCTTCTGCATTTTGATTGAATTTTTGTTAAATATGATATTTTCTGTATGATTGGTCTCTTTATTTTAAGCTGTTGCCTCCCACGATGTAACAAATTAATCTAAACACCCAAAGTTCTCAGTAGATTGAGTTTAGAAACATGCAGAAACAATTTTTAATGCTCCTTTTATCACTTATTTTAGATATTCCTTATTTTGTGCCCAGGCCTGCTCTCCACTATCGGTTTGCATGTGGTATTTATTCCAGTATCTGCACTGAATGAACTGTATTATAAACATGAATGTACATAAGTTGTTAAATGAACCTTAGCTCCCTTTGGCTGCGTTTCATCGGGAAGAGAAGGTCTGAGTTCATTTTTTTTATTCCCCAGAAGCAGATCCGGTCTGACCGCTGCAGGAAAGACAGGGAACTTTAAAAATAAACTAAAACAGCCGATCAGATCTGCTTCCAATGAAAGCTCAGACTCTTCTGCCTCCCATGTGAAGACGGCCGGTTGTTTGTGTGTCGATACAGGGACGGGTGAACAGGGGGTCCGGCCCGTTTGGAGCGGACCACTTCATGGAGAAAAATCATTTCTTGTTTATAATGTAGAGCAAAAAGAGAGACTGCAATAGTCCTTGTAAAATTGTATGAGTAAAGTGTCAAATATGTGTCCAACAGAGACGACATTATTTTAAAAATTATGTTTGGAAGATTTTAGCTGTGTACATAAATATATATTACTTGTACTTTGTTTTTGAAATGGCAGAAATATGAACAAAGTGGAAATATTTATTGCTCTAAAAATATAAAAATCTGTTCATGTGGATGGAAACTTTTCCCGTTTGTGTCGTCGTTTTTTAACACAGTGATCTTTACGACACCTGAACTGAAACGGCCAGCCAGTTAATTTCAATCCCAACTCTTATTACATTCAGGTTAGCTTCATTTAGTCATTTACAATTATTGTGTATCATTTTCAACATTATTAATGTAACATTACCATTATTATTTAATTAATTCTCCTTTTTTTTCAATTTCATGGTTTCATTAGCTTATTTACAATTATCTAATTTTTTTAATATTCAATTTGTTTTATTTTTTTCTATTTCTTGCGTTTTCTGTATTTAATTTTTTACTTACTTTTTTCATCTTACATTGATTTATTAACTCTGCTCCTTTGTGTATTTACACAGTTACAAGGAAAAGCAGAGAACAAGTTAAAATCTGTAAATAAATGGACAAAGGAGAAAAGAGGAAATATTACACTAGAAAAAAGATTGTTTAAAAAAAAGTAACAGCAATGTAAAATAGATATATGAATACAGTTAATGAAAAAATGAGAAAATAATGGAAACTGAAAAGTGAAACTAACAATGGAATTCATAGACAATGATAAATGATTATTGTTGCACTGTGAAATCATAGGAATATTGCTCATTTTGGGGTCTATTTGGCAAATAAACTATTTTATCAAGTCTTTTATTTAGTTATTGCCAATTTGGGCAGCATCCAGCTCCATAAAAATCAGGGTCAAATCTATTCACACATCACACTTTCTGAATTGTTCTGTTTTGGGGGGTTTTAAGCTAACATATAAGTTTTGTTTCAGTAATCGTCATTACTGAAAGGAGTTTATGTCATTATTTATGATAATCATTACTCAAATTTAGTTTAACCTGTTGGTCTCAGGTTGTCATTCACAATGACAGGGGTGTCAAACTCCAGTCCTCAAGGGCCGCTGTCCTGCAGTGTTTAGATGTGCCACAGGTAAAAAACAGTGGAATGAAATGGCTTAATTACCTCCTCCCTGTGTAGATCGGTTCTCCTGAGCCTTGCTAATGACCTAATTATTCTTTTCAGGTGTGGTGCAGCAGAGGCACATCTAAAAGTTGCAGGACAGAGGCCCTGGAGGACTGGAGTTTGACACCCCTGTCACTAGAGGACCCAAATTTGGGTCCTGTAGTGACAGACAGGTTAACGTACAAATTTTGAGCTTCCTTTACCCAATTTAGTAAGCATGCTAAAGGGAAAATGACACTCACAACATGGCGGACGCGCTAGCGTACGGTTCTTATCTGCTACGCAACGACGCCATTATGACGGCGCTTCCGTTTAAACCGGATGTGGATGAATTCCAGATGCAGCGGAGCACGTTTGTGGAGTCTGAAGAAAGTTGGTGAATGAGGTGAGTGTTCGGTGTTTGAGTCTCGTCAGTGGAGGAGTTTATGTGGAGTTTCTCCTCTAACCGGAGCTGACAGGAACGAGGCGGTGATTTAAACCGAGCTAGCAGGCGAGCTAGCCGGGCTAGCTTCGAGTTTGTTGCGAAACTTTAGCAGGTTGGAGGAACTGAGGTCACCTGCTGCTAATGGTTCTGATTACTAGAACTGAACTGGCCTTAATAAAGCGGAATATTGTGGGGAAGTTAATTTAAAAAGTGAAACTCCTATAAATATAGTAAATATAAAGATTATTTACACCTGCGAATACTTTTAAATATGAACTTAAATCATTTTCAGTCCGGAAATGTTATTCTCTAGCCTACAAAACCATGAAGAAACTTGGTCCCATACAAATAATAATTCCTAAAGAAGCTGGTTGTTCAGAGTTCTGCATCGGAATATATGAGTGGAAAGTTGAGTGGAAGGAAAAAGTTTGGTGCGAAATTTACCAGATGGAGTCAGAGCTTCAGAGGCCCGGTATGGAGCTAAATTATGGCCATAAAATGTGTTAAATAATCTTTGATTCTCATGGAAACATCTGAATAATTGTGCAAACCAGGAAGTAGCAGATGAACTCTGAATGAGTGAAAGTGTTCTCCCACGTCAGATGGTCTCTCTCCCCCAGCAGCCTCCTCCCTCGCTCCGCCTGCCGGGTCAGAAGCGATGGCCGGCCCGGAGCTCCTGCTGGACTCCAGCATCAGGATGTGGGTCGTCCTGCCCATCGTCTTCATCACCTTCTTTGTCGGTGTCCTGCGGCACTACGTGAGCCAGCTGCTGAGCAGCGACAGGAAGCTGGACCTGGAGCAGGTGTCTGACAGGTGAGGGTCCAGACGGCCCGGTTCTGTTCGGACCGGAACCGCCTGGATCTGACGCTCTGTCTCCAGCCAGGTGTTGCTGCGCAGCCGCGTCCTCCGGGAGAACGGGAAGTACATCCCCCGACAGGTAAGCAGATCGCCTCACTTCCTGTCTGCTGGACCGCCTCTGGTTCTGGTTCCGGTTCTGGTTGGGTTCAGCATGTGATGCCATCTAGTGGGGAAAGGCATAACGTTTAAGTTCTTTAAAAACGGAAGAGATTCACTCTGGGATATAAATTTGTTTTTGTGTAAATATTTTAGTTCTGTCTGTTAGGATATGAAACCAGAACCGACCGGGTCAGAACCCGACCTCAGAGGAAACTCGTTTCATTCCCTCAGATCAGAGGATCGTGACCCGGAAAACTCAGAACTTTACCTCAGCAGGACAGCTGCGAAAAAATTTAATTAATCCTTATGAAGTTTCCTCTATTTGAAAGAATGGTTCTGATCTGGTCGGCTCCGTTCTGATCGGACCGTTGGTTCTGATCCGTTTCAGTCGTTCTTCATGAGGAAGCATTACTTCAACGATGCAGAAACCGGTTTCTTCAAGAGGGTCAAGAGGAAGGTCGTTCCTAAGAACCCCATGACAGGTGAGTCGCCCCGTTGGACCTGACCCAACCCGGTTCTGTTGCTGCGTCCCGACCCGGTTTTGCTGACTCGGTTCTGTTGCAGACACCAGCATGTTGACGGACATGATGAAGGGAAACCTGACCAATGTTCTGCCCATGATTCTGATCGGAGGATGGATCAACTGGGCCTTCTCCGGCTTCGTCATCAGTGAGTTTCCTCCTCCTGGTGGTTCTGACCCGGTTCTGACCCGTGGCCAGGTTTGAAACCAGAACCGTCTGTTTTCCAGCCAAGGTGCCGTTCCCGCTGACGCTGCGGTTCAAACCGATGCTGCAGAGAGGAATCGACCTGCTGTCGCTGGACGCCTCCTGGTGAGAACCCGACCCAACAGAACCGGACCTTCCCGACCCGGCCGGTCCTGTTCAGCTTCTGTTTGGTGTGCAGGGTGAGCTCGGCCTCCTGGTACTTCCTGAACGTGTTCGGCCTGAGGAGCATGTACTCGCTGATCCTGGGCCAGGACAACGGTGAGTTCTGGTTCTGGTCGCGTCGGACAATACTCAGTCAGCAAACCAATTTATATCAGCATGTGCAAAAAATAAAAAACAGAAAAAATAGAAACGGGAAAAAAGGAAGATGACAGAGAAATCAGCAAAAACTGAAAAATGGAAAAAGAATAAAGTAAGAAAAATTATTTTCCTAAATATTAACATGTTTAACAGTTTATTCCTACATTTATTTTAAATGTTTTATTTTTGTTCTTTCAGTGGTAAACAGACGCGCTCTGTGAAGTAGGATGTATTTAAAGTTTTAAACGTTAATTCTTCATACAGATTTCCCTGAAACCAGTTTTTCCTGATTGATGATGCGTCAGAATGAAGCTCTCTGATTGGTCCGTTTCCTCCACAGCTGCTGACCAATCACGGATCATGCAGGACCAGATGACTGGCGCTGCCATGGCGATGCCCCCTGACCCCAACAAGGCTTTTAAGGTGAGTCAGATCAGAGCTTTGGGCGGTGAGGTTCGGTTCTGTGTAACGCTTCGACCCGGTTTGACCCGTTTCAGAGCGAGTGGGAGGCGCTGGAGGTGGTGAACCACCAGTGGGCGCTGGAGAGCGTGGAGGAGGAGCTCATGGCTAGAGACTTGGACTTTGGAGGAATCTTCAGCGCCAACAACAGGTTCTGATCCGGACCTGATCCGGTCCTCTGGACAGAACTGGATGGTTCTGCTTCCAGTGACTCATATCCCACTGTGACCCATTGCGGTTCTGATAAACGGGTCTCTGGGGTTCCTGAAGGTCTGAAACAGAATCAGAACATCTGTCAAAATGGGAACAAACGGACCAGCTGATCCGGACCGGCTTCATGGAGCCCAGAGGTTCTGGAAGAAAACCCAACAGAACCTTCAGATGCTTCCATGGCTGCTGCTGGTTCTGGTCCACTGGGTTTTATGATGGCAGTACCAGAACCTGGTCCAGTTACCATGGTGACAATGGTCTGGAAACGCCACCAGACAGGCCTGACCTTTAACCCCAGAGTGTGTAGGAGAGACCAGACCTTGATCCAGTCTGACCCAGATTTCTGGATCAAAATATTTTTGGTTTCCTTTGAACAAAAATAAAAACTTTAAATGTCTGAATTTCATTAAATTTTTTTAACTTTATTTTTAAAAAACAGAATTTTAATTCAAACTGACAAATTTCTCAGTGCTTCTTCTATGAATTCCATCTGAATGAGTTGGAAACATCGCCCTCTGGTGGTGATAATCCTTTAATTCATATCAAAAGATTAGAAGTACAATAAAATAATTTCCTCTGATATTTGACAGGAAGACAAAGAAAGAAATGGGCCCAGCGTTCCCGGCTGCTCCACCCACCACTGACACCATTCATCTCACATTACTTATAAAAATACTGTACACCCGTCCGCCGGATTAATACGACTTTATAAAGCTCATCTATAAATATGAAAATAAATCCAGTCACCAGCCGATCATCTAGAGAATTCATTACAAATAAATATCTGGAGAAAAGCTAAATATACAAACAGATGTTTAAAATCCCTGACAGCGTCGTTAGAAATAATCGGCCTGGTTCTGCTCACCAGAACCGGCCGACTTCTTCCTAAAATCAAGTGAAATTTACAGAAAATCATGAAAAGCTTTATTCCGGACGAGAAAACGGACTGAACCCTTCCAGCTCGCAGTAAAAACAGGCGTTCAGTGGAATGTTGTTTTATTAAAGAGAAATAAACTCGCTTTCAGAGCGTCTTAAAGGCTTCGGGCCGTTTCCTCCATCTGAACCCGCGGGTCCAGACGGGTTTGGGTCCAAATCAAGCAGAATCATCCTGAGTGTCCAGAGTCAAAGAAAGAAAAGCAAGACGTTCAGTCCGTATCCATGGAGCCACAGGAAGGGGCGGTGCCCGTCTCTGTGGTGTCGTTGGCAGGTTGCGAGGCGGAGCTTAAGGAGGGGGCGGGCAGAGTGGGCTTCCTGATCTTATCTTGTCGGTGGTAGAACAAGACGTAGGCAGCATTAGTCTGCGGGACAAAACGGGAAAATGTTGCTAAGGCTGTTAGACATGTTTCACCTTTGACCCCAACAGACAGAACAATCACTGGAAGTGGACAATAAATCAATAATAAATATCCACAGTATCAATAGACAATACGTCTGAACTCTTCACTCTGGTTACCTAGCAACTCACTCACTCTGGTTACCTAGCAACAACCTGTAGAGTTGCAGCAGTTTCAGGTTTCGCCTCAAAAAAAAAAAAAAAGGCAAAAACTGGATGAACTGGAAATGTCAAACACACGGTTAGATAGTTCAGATATTTAAAACAAAAAACTAATCAATAATTATCCATAGACTGATGGGTTATATCCTAGTACATTTTCCAGCCGCATCAGTTTTTTTAATGCACATTTTGAAGTGTTACATTAAAAAATGTTGATGGAAACGGCAAAATTCTAAATAATTAATTCGATTTCGCAAAAATGTTTTTCTATTGGCTTAAGATGTTTGTTTTTTTTCTTCTGAAAAACAGTTAATGGAGATGGGATCATATTTACTGAATAAGCTCTGGCACAGCCAACGCTGCCACCTGCTGGTGGGTCTGTGCCTTACAGGGGCACCTGATTGAACACCTCAGAACTTCCTCCATGTTCCTGCGGTGTGTCGTCCATGCTAACTATGAACCTCCACTTCCTGTTTAATACAGCCGTGCACAGAGTCGACATCTGATGACATCACACTTTGCATTGCTTTTTTTTTTTTCTGGCACTTTAAAAGTTTTTGATGAAGTTTAACATGAAAACTGGAAGGAGACATATCCATCTATTTACAAAATAAAAGCATACAATCCAAACTGTTTTTAAATTATAGATTTAACGGATTAGTTTTTCATTCAGTAAACAGTAAATCTTTCAGAATAATTAAAATGTTACATCAACTCTGTCTTAAAACCAGTTCAGAACTGGTTTGGATAAAAAACAGCTGAGATCCCAGTTCAGCAGGCCTGACGTGATGTCACTTCCTGTCCCCTAACGTGCGGCGGAGTGATACTGACCACAATCTGGTCCTGGGAAGCGTACGTCACTTTGCTGTCATCAAAGTAGTACCACTGACCGTTGTCCTTGTTCTGGGCATAGCTGGTGTCTGTACACACACACACACACACACACACACAGGATGAGGTCATGTGACCAGCGGGAATGATCCAACATGGCTGCCGCAGCACTCACAGTGTCCGTCTCGGAGTCCTCCGTAGTGATTGGACACGGCGATGAGGTCGTAGCGGCTCGGCGGCTCCTCTGGCGAAACGCCTTTCCTCAGCAGGAAGTCAGAGAAGTCCAGGTCTCTGCAACCACAGCAGGAGGTTCTGACCTGGTTCTGATATAATCTGGATCTGATTTGTTTGGCCCAGTTAGGATCCACAGGTCCAGTTCAGTCTGGAAAGTTTCTCCTCTTTATGAATGAATGTTTATTCAGACGGTTAAATTATGAAACATTCAGCGATAAAACGTCCCAAATGAATGGATATGGTGACAAAAACGTCTGTTTATGAAGCTGGATAAAAAAACAGTTTTCCATTCTCTATGGAGATCTGGAAAATGAGTAAAATCAGATTTTAAAACCTAAACTTATAAATTCAGTCGCTTCGCAAAAATAAAATCTGAATTATTTCATCTCCACATCTAGATATTTTTAATTTAAATTAAATTAATGAGTCGGTCTGTATTTCTTCTTCTACTGTGTCGGACGGTGAGTTTAACGGAGACGTTTCCATGGTAACAGAGGCTGAGCGGTTCGGACCAGAAACATGAAAACAGCAGCAGAACCGGTTCCTGCTGGGAAATTAAACATGAACAAAGATGAAAATGAACCGAAAACATCTGAAACTAACAAGAACAAACCAAACCAGACCGAGTGCGAGTCCGGTTCCGGTTCTGCTGCAGGTCGGAACCTGCAGAGGAAACAGTGACCCGTAGCCTCTGGAGGTTCTGGAGCGACAGCAGTGTTGCAGTGACCCGGTCCGGCCCGGTGCGTGTGTCGGTACCTGAGGGGGAAATCCACGATGGTGTCCAGTTTCTCTCTGGTGAACTTGGTGTAGGAGAACCGCTTGAGGTGGATGATCAGAACCTCCGGCAGTGACCACAGGTCCAGCTTCTTGGTGGCCAGCTGGTGCTTCTTACACACCGGGCAGTACCTGGAACCACAGACGGATCAGAACCGATCAGAACCCGATCAGAACCTGCAGAAGTTTGCAGTAGAGATGCACAGATCTAATATTAATATCTGTATTAGTTCTGATATTAACTAATAATTCTCGATCGGGTATCAGAATGTTCCTGATCCATAAGGACGGATCTATTCAGTCCAGTTCTATGCTGTATTATTTATCTGCATTATATTTATTCCTAATTGCATTTTCTGAACCATTCCAAATAAAGTTTGAGTTTATCACTTTATGTTGGCTCTTATCGTCATATTTCCTCTGAACAAATTAAATTAGTTTTTCTGCATTTGACCAAAGCTGGTGAAGCTGTTGATGGATTTATTACTGAACTGGTTCAGAGTTACTAAATAAATGTTTAACTCAGTACATTTATGTCTGTGTTTAACAGCAGAAACATTTTAAATCAGTTTTTCCTGCATCGTATCGGCCGATACTAAACCTCAGGTATGTAAAAAGTGGGTCGTTTTCGGCAGCAGCAGCCGGTTTGCGGCGGCAGCTGGTTACCATGGATTCTCCTCCTCCAGCGTTTCCACGGTGGTGAAGAGCTCGATGCACTGCTGCAGCTGGACGGTGGTCTGCTGCTGCGGCACCTCCATGCTGCCGTGCTTCACGTAGCGCTGCGGGACACAGGGAGCGTGAGCGGCACACCTACACGTTTCCATGGCGATAAGGAATCAGACTGACCTCTGCTTCGTTTTCATTGTAGAACCTCTTCTTCATGTCGGGGTCCCAGTCGATGGCCACGTACGGCTGAGCTGCAGAACAGAACCAGAACCGATCAGAACGACGACAGACTGACAGAAGTTATTCAGACACATGATCATTTATTGATCTAATGGCTAATTAATGAATGATGAAAAACATTTCATACTGGAACTAGAAAACATTTTAAGTATCCAAACTAAATTATTTGTATCTGGCTGGTTTATCCAGTCACACCACTAGATGGCAGTAATCCAGAACATCTTTCAGTTTTTCTGATTTTAGGATTTTATTTGATCACTTTCTGTTCTTACCTGATCAAATATTTGTTTGTTTCCACAGCTTTAATAAAAATAAAACCTCAGTAACATCGAACACTGCCCAGATTCACACTGGGATCAGTTTGAGTTTTGATCGCAGCTGTGATGTTTAGAAACGTCTTTGAGTTTCACAGACAAACTGAATCCTGAGATCAGGAGGAACAGGAAGCTCCAGCAGCTCCACCTGCAGCCTTTTGTTTCATAAAGCTACATTAAACACTTTGTGTGTGTGTGTGTGTGTGTGTGTGTGTGTGTGTGTGAGACCCACAGCTGAAGGACACGGCGCTCCCTCCCTCTCCCATCCCTCTCTCGGTCGTCCCGTTGGAGTTGACGGCCTGGATGGTGAACAGGCTCCGCCTCCTCTTGCGACACGCCCGCCTCTTTGCTGGACACTCATTGGCTGGAGGACTGGGAGAGCGGGCTTCCTCCTGCTTGTCCGCCTCGTTTTCTTCTTCGGTGGTTTCTCGGGGAGGCTGCGCTGCCTCTGCTGGCGGCTCGGCGTTCCCGTCTGCTTCGCCGTCGGCTCCCAGATCGCCGCCGGCGCTCAGGCCGTCAGGGTTGCCGGCGGCCGGGTTCAGGGAGCCGTTCCCGACCTCGGTGTCCCCCTGGTCCAGAGAGGCCAGCCCCTGGTTGACCCCAGGAGGGGGGTCACCTGCTGTGGCAACGGGACCCGAGGAGGCGGGATCTGGGTCGGGATCTGGGGTGGGGCCATCTGTTGGGCCGTTTGGAGATGCGTTGCTGCAACACGGTTCTGGTTCTGAGGGTCCGGCTGTCTCCGAGGCATTCTGCTCATCTGAGGACACAGGAAGTCAGGACTGCTCAACAGGAAGTCAGGACTGCTCAACAGGAAGTCAGGACTCATGGATTTGATGACTGCTATGCA